ATCATAATGATGCTCCATACCTAAAGTGTATCAGATGTGTGTATTTATATTTTTTGGTCAAATGAATGTTTGTCTAGATCTTTAGAATTTTAATGTGGCTTCATTTTTAGTTAAAATATATTACTTATTTCAACAAAATAATAATACTTACTATAATATAATAATCACATAAAGAGCTTACAAGTAATTGTAGTGTACTTTTTGTTTTAGAAGAAAACAAAAACAGGATGAAACACCAATACAGTGGTTCAGCTTTGTACAATAGGCCAGGAATTTCAACTTGGTGACCCTCCGAATACCTTGCTTGTTGTTGTTGTGGGAGGGCTTAGGAGATGAAGACTGGGACCCAATGTAGGGGATCACCCCAACCTTGGGCCTCAGCCATCACCTTAACTAATTTTGTTTGGTCTTTTCTTCTCTACCTTCCTCTTTCATATCTTCTTTATTCCCTTCTTCTATCCCATTCCCAAGGTGTGAGAGCTGTGCAGAAAGGATGAAAGGTTGGCTTTGTGTCAGTCATAAATGGGCTCTGGGAGCCATGGGCACAGTATTCCCTTGGTTAATTGCCGAGCCCTTACCCCTTATGGGGACCCTGAGGGGTAGACCGTTTCTTTTCCCCAGTTTATTCAAGATCACCATGGCCAGTAATGAAGATTCTTTACCCTTAATAGGGGCATTAAAGCTTACCCCTTAGTGAATTTGATTTTGATGATTTTCAAACCCCTGCCCTCCTTTGACCATGGCTCCGACCACTGATACTCATACCCTCTCTTCAATGCTTACGAACAAGTCTAAACATTTCTAAACATCCACCCAGGTTATTATTCAACCTCTAGAAAGTACCCCTTCCTCTTCCCCAACATTCTCCTCTTCATCTCCTGCTGCACAGTCCTCTTCAATGTCTACCCCTTCATCCCTTATTACTACTCTTCATCCTTATTGTCATCCCCCTGCAGAACTACTCCACTCACACCATCCCATCTTCCTCTCGCCTTCATCCTTCTACTGCCTCTTCCTCTGCAAACCTTCTGAGTACTCTTTGGCACAGCCAAGTGGGATCGATTCTTTGTGATTCCCCAACAGCCCCTTATTCTGCGAATACCCTTCTCTTTCAGCAGTGCCTCCAGAAACAAGTAGGTAAGGTTACCTTTCGCAGTCACTCTGATCGTTCATGCCTTGTCATGGCTACGTCTGAATCCCAAGCTCAGGCACTGCACTGCATTCCTGCAGAACATCACCCCTCTTTTAACCCACATGCAATGATCCATTTATAGGGCGATAATCCCCATTTCTGGACGGTATCAAAATGGGTGCATGGGCCAGTCCAGGAACCTGCCCGTGCATTGCCTGCCTTGGGCAACAAAATCAGAGCGCAAGCTCCGATCCAGCATCGCACCAGTGGGACAGCCGGCCATGGTCCTTTTTCTGTACGTCACATATGTGTGACACCTGGCACAAGTGGGTTAATACTTGCACTGGAACTGGAAATGACAAGGACTGGTCAGACTGTGAAAATTACCTACTTTCCTGCCTGATGAATATGATGCACTGGCAGTACAGTGTTACACTATTCCTCCCAGAGGCCAGCATAAATCCCACATCAATATTGCTAAGATTAGTTTCCATAGACAAGACCTCCCCCATGAGCTTTATATTGGTAGACTGTCTTATCATGTCCGACAATATCAACCCCTTCCTCGTCAGTGTCAGAAATGTTAGCGTTTTGGCCACCCAGCCAAACATTGTCCACAGCCCGCTGCCCTCTATGTGCCCAACTTGGTCATGACCATTCAAATTGCCCTGCTCAGTCATGTACGTGCCAGTTGTGGTGACTCTCATAATGTATTTTTTAAGAGCTGCCCTGCCTATAAGTTTATTGTGAGGTAACAGTCCTCAGATTAACTAGAGTGAGGCCAGACAGGAAGCACGACAACAAGGTTTTTCTATCGTACCAGACAACCTAAACGTGTCACTCCAGGCTCTCCTACTACATTCTCTCCTACACTTTCCTCTTCTGCTCCTCAGATATCTATCTCCTCTTCTCCTCCTTATAATAGAATCCTTGTTTCTCAATCCTCTTTACCCTCCAGAAACCCTTAAAGACATCCAAAACTTATTAAAGATGGCCCAAGGGAACACTCTGCTCCCTTATCTACCCTCAATCCCTCTGTTCTTCTTCCTTCTACATTTGAAGTATTTGCAGATATCCATCCTCCTCCTCAAGTTCCCTCCACCCCCCCTCCTCCTACACCCTTCCAACATACCTCACCCTCTGTACCGCTCCCATTTGAATACTCACACAAAAATTCCCTCTATCCATGTCCTTCTCCAGACCCCTCCCTTCCAGAAATTCTTCCTGATACTTCACCACCTTTCCCAGTCCCCATTTCTTATCCCCTGAATTCTTCTACTTCTCCAACAGCCACTTCTGTTTTCCTTGATCAATGAAGCTATTCCTTCCCCAGTCACTGATTCACTCAGTTGCTCTACCCACTTATATTCCCCCAACCCCTTCCCAAAATACCTCATCCTCTCAACCACCCAAACCACCCAAACCAAAGGCCTCCCCAAAACCCCATCCTTCCCCACTATCCCTCCCACTCCCTTATGGATACACACGTGAATCTCTTTTATCACAATACCCTTCCCCAGACCCCATCTTCCCTATAGAACCCCCGGACATTACTCCCTCGCCTACTCCTGATCCTTTATCTCAACCCTCAGATACCTAATCCCGTATTACTAAGACAACCTTATCTACCATTATCACCTATTATCCCTATTCCTTCCCCAGTCACAGATTCATTGCAATTCACTTCATCGCTCTACCTCCTTAACCTTTCCCATTTTACTAATCCCTGCTCTACTTCATTTATTTCCCTCCTTTCCATTTTCATTACCATACTTTCCTATAACACCCTCTAATCTTTGACATCTAACACCTTCCCTCTCTCCCTGGATTATTCTACTTTTCAACAACTATCTATTTTTCCTTGAATATTTTTCCTATACCTTCTCAAGTGACAGATACACTATAATTCACTCAGTCGCCCCTACCTCCTTAACCCTTCCCTTTCTACTAATTTTTGCTCTAGTTCACTTGCTCCCCTTTTTCCTTTTCACTACCATACTATCTTATAATGCTCTCAAACCTTTGACATCTAACACATTTCATCATAATTTTTAACTTTCCTTTGCCCTTTCCGACACACATACTTTATCATAGTGCTATATGACCTTTGATGTGCAGCACATTTATCTTCAAACATTAAACATTTAAACATTCATCTTGATGAACGTTGAGCCCAAGAAAGTAGCTTGGTCTTTATAAATTACCGAGATAATGTGACCTCCCTTAAAGGATGAATATGTGTGTGGCATCAGATAATTGCTGTGGCCTCCATTCATCACAGCACTCCTAATGAGATGACTGAGTACTTCCACTATACATATTCTAGCCAGAAAAATCTTGTACATCTATTTGACAATATTTGGACAGATAATAAACCATACCAAACTTTGCCTTGTTGGAATACATGATGCAGCTTTCCTTGCTCTAGTTAGAGCACTATAGGCATGGAGGCACAGGATGTAGTTGGAGTGCCTCTGTGGTGATCAGTTGTCAATAGACTTTCCACCACCTACAAAATACGAGTCATATCTGATTTAACAATTGAAAGGAGGTAAAAAATTGAGCAGAATACAACTGTTTTACTTAATTTCATATTGTTTTATATTTATATTAGGGAGGATTCTCCCTCCTACACATCATTTATAAATTACTGTGTGAGCTTTGATGGCATAATATTATGGGAGGAATTTTACCCATCCAGGAACTGCTCTTTGGTGTTCTGTTTAACAGTTAGTTGGTAACATAAGGTCATAAAGATTGTCTATAAAATAGATTTCTGTGGGACATTTGAATTATTATTGATCAAAGAGTTTCAGGTTATTAAATTATAAACTTTATTCCTTTTTGTGAAAACAATTGAAACTGGTTGTAAATTTCTGTGTAATGTGTACTAATAGTAATATCATTTTCAGGTCCCTGGTGAAGAGTATTCTGTTCTTTGCTGTTGGTGTCAAAACTGCAAATGATTTTGTTGGATTTGATGTTCTTAATCCAAATCCACAGTAAAGGTTGGTTTTCATAATTCTTTCATATTGCTGTGATAATATTTTTCAATATTTCAACCATTTTTTTTAGACTATATTTGAGGAAACTTAGGGTAGATTATACATATTTTATTGGACTGATAAATGCTTGCAGCTTTTAGCAAGACAGTTGTTTGAAAATTGTAAATAACGTTTAAAAGTATATATTAATATATTTAATCTTATTTTACAGGTGTGTCCGTATAAGAATTTTCCTGAGAAGATGGTTTAATAGAAGAAAGATTGTTTCTTATACAATGTATAGTATATTACAATGCCTATTTTGTAATTGTTTGTGTAAACACTGTAAAAACTATATGAATTTTTATTTCTGTTTTTGAGAAATAACAAAAGGTTAAAAAAAGACATTTGAGGTATCATTTCACCTTTTTCAGGTCCATTTTTTTACCGTTCAGGGAAAGAAAATCAAATCATGTGAAGAAATTTATTAATTAAAGCACTAATATCCAGATAATATGTTTAGGAATTAATTATTTGATTTTTTTGTCTGCGTTCCAAATACCAGCTTATCAGCTGATTCCAAATACCAGCTAATCAGCTGATTTACTTTCAACAATAAATATTGTATTAAGTCCAATAATGATAAACAAATACACTATATATATGTACATTTTTTGTTACATCTATAATATAATTATATCAATGTTCATCCATTTCATTTAAGCTGCAGTTCACATGAATCACATTGCAACTTGAAAGGTATTTTAAGTGAAGCGACTTATTTAACAAAACAAAAATCTAGTATTACATCTGTTGCATTTGGACAATTACCCTAAGAACAAACTATGTAAGCCTAAATAAGAATTACTTCCAAAAAACTTTAGCATTTGTAATATTATCCTAATATAAAAAGATTTATATAAAATAAGACACTCAAAATTCATTTGAGGTAACATAACAAAGCTTTTTGTTTTATTACAGTGTATATTTTAGTTGATGAAATTATAATTTTTAAACAGACAAGTTAGACTTAAATGGGAAAGAGGTTTCCATAATATTTCTATATATCATTGTCTTTGTTCTTTTTGTTACTACTCATCTCTTCATTGTAATACAATAAAGAGATTAAATATCTGAAATTTCCCTGAATGTTCCTTCAGTCAGAAGCAATGAAATGATGATTGTTGAATTTCACTTCTTCTCTTGAAACGAATCAAACAGTTCTTATAGAGAATGTTTCTAATTTTAAAATTTCCAAAAATTTAATCAGTCTACAAAAACAAAGAATAGAATAAAATCATCAATAATTTACTTATAAGCATGTAGTATTTGCATTTATTTGCTGCTCCATAAGGAACATTTTGTATGAGTTACTATTTCTCTATTATGTCACTTGCAGAGAACTTTATTAGCCATTCATGAACTATTACCTAGGATAAACAAGCTCAGTAGTATCCTGCAGCTCGGTGGTCATTAGAATGGTGTGGCCGAGGAGGTGCTGCAGGTCTAGAAATATAAATAGATAATATTAAAAATATATACATTATTTCTTAGTGATGTAACTAATATACTAATAATAAACTTACACCCAGAAATGTCAGCATAACTAAGTAAAATTCAGATGGAACAAAATATTCCAGAAGAAAGGATGTTTAGCACATACTTGTAATTACTGATACAGCATGCAGTGCGACTTAATTTACACACTCACCTGCTGTTTTTTTCCATTGCTATAGTATACATCATGGTAGTTTGTTTCTGTCCATATATCTGTATATATAGAAGCAAAGCCATGCAATTATACCCATACATAAAACAAAGAAATAGCTACATAAACCTATGATTGTAAAGCAACCACAACGACATGACCTTTGCAAGGCCCAAAATCTTTACATTTTTAAAGTATTTACTAACTTGTATTTCTTTAAGAAAATTGATTTGAATTTAGTATGATAAAGGTAAAGATAATGGACCTAACAAATAAGATATACGTGACTTGTAATACTTTGGAACTATCTGCATAAAACTAAGGAAACCAAACAAATCCCATACAAAGAAACATTAAAAAGTTCACTTTCTGCACTAGTATCTTTCTAAAATATATAATTTGTTGACACTGAGCATATATTGAAAATTAATTGTTTGCTTCATTTTGTGAATAATACTTGGAATGAAACTAGTTTTTAGCAATTTGATCAGCAATGTTGTTTACAATTGAGGTGTCTAAAGTAAGACAATAATAAGTCAACAATAACCACTGCCTATTTAGCATGTTTTAGGAATAAACTTAAAATAATGTTCATGGTTTTAAATTGCATGGGATTGATAAGACCAAGGCACTGCACTCGAGAATCTCCTTGAAGAATGCTATACCACCTACTAGTATTAACAAAACATGATAATAAAATCTTTATCAAAAGACTTCCAGTGTTTATATCTGAACTGATTATATGACAGAAAAGGAGAGAACAAAAAAGAAATGAAAAATGCTACACAAGCTGCACAATCAGAGAAATTGAAAAAGCCATTATGTAATAATTATACAACACAATTTTTCAAGGATGTTCCAGTAACATTTAAAATGAAAGAGTATTTAAAGGAAGACTTGTTAAAACCTTTGCCCAGAATTTGAGTACATTACTACTTCAACTGAGTATGGATGCTATTTACAAAAATTTAACAGATTAATCTAAACTGACTTGACTTAAAACTTCAGTCATGAAATTCAGTACAATCTATAAACATGAATATTTTTTAACACAGCAAATACAGATACACTTTAAAAGAACAAAATAAAAACACAGGATGAAATCCATTAATAACTACAAGCATCAAATCTACAAAATAAATCCCTACAAAAAGCAATGTATAGCATTTAAGACAGACTTAACATGAAAGTGAACTACACTTTCAGCCAGTATCATTAAAAGATGGAAAATTTATGGTCTGCCTCAGGAGTAGATCCAGAGAATTGTGTGGGAAACTACATTTGTAGTGGGATGTAGGATTTATGGGGGAAATATAATAGAATTGTCAATTACAATGTATATTAGAAAGCAATTTGAACTGTAACTGAGGTTTGATTCTCTAATGACCTCATAATTATTTCAAGTATTTTAAGTGATTTTACATCACATATAAAACTGGAAGTAAAGCCATTGTTAATATTATTACAGTGATTTTTCTGCTTTTACATAATGTATTATAAAGAAGAAATCATACATTCACGTTAATGAAAATTCTTGAACAGCCAAAGAACCAGCCCTGGATCTACCCCTTGATCCAACTTATCTGCAATGGCCTATAATCCTGTCAGATAATATCTTATAAGACGTTTCTAGTGGATCATTAACCAATCTACACGGTCAAGTATACCTCTCTCCTGTCCATCCTTTCCATCCTGTAGTTTTCGCGAGAAGGAGGTCGACGATAAGGGTCATCTTGGCGGCGGTTGAAGTCGTCCCTCCCCTTCGGCTCAGGGTAATAAGGGTTGTCACGGGGTGTCTCTCTGTGGGAATTAGTGTGTACATTTGGTAAATTACATTGTTACCATAGGCTGTTTATCCTACAACTGGCAAGGTGAGGAATGTGTATGAGGAAAAATAAAGAAAACAGATCAATGCATCCAGTGTTAAAATCATTCGAATTTACCTTCTGGGTGCTTCACTACGTGGTGGGTGAGTTTCTGTGACTGCCTTTGCAGCGGCCGTGCCAGCAGCTTGTAGTAACGCCACTTTCGATTGTAGGCTATTGGAAAATGCTTTTAATGTAAGACAACAATATGCCAAACACATAAAAAAGAGGACGACTACATCAGCATTGGTAATGAAGGACATTCATTGATTCTTATACTGCCATATTTTGTCCAGTCATATATTTCGCACATACCTACTTATAATGCAATACATCTTACCCGATGATGGTAATGGTGTTGAAAATGCAGGCGACCGTAAGCAAGAGGCACACGCCGCCAAGAACGCCCGCGACTATGTAGATCTCATCTTGCATCGAGATGCTTTCCTGTCGTGGAGAGCGGGCACTTAAGATATTAGGAAAAAATCTTCAAATGGTTGTAACCCCTCCGATCAATTGATTATTTAGACTGTCTGTTATAATTCGACAACACATATTTCATATACTATTTATTTTAGTTCACAATTGGAGCCAACAAAATAGTTTCCTGTTCTTTTGTAATACCAGCACTAAGCCTCTCTAACACGCAGCAGTTGCCGTTTAATTGTAGTCTATTTATAAATCCAATATTCAAAACTCGGGGCCCATAATCTTCCTCCAAACATTTATATGATGTTTGTTCATACATCCATTCAGGATTACCGAGTAAGGAAAAAGTTGGATGACTCAATTCTCACCTATGTGAGTCCTGTTATTTTACGTCATATCTTCTGTCGACTTTATATCAGTCGGATTAAGATATGGGTGATGTATGATGTCGAGCGATAATTATTTTTCTTAAACCACGATAAAGCCTTGGGAATATTTAAGCTCAAATTACGTCAGTCAAGATTTACACTTTGGGAAATCTTGTGATTCATAGATATCGCCTTACATTTTTGTTATCGAAGTGCAGTTAATCAAAGCCCGCTTAAAGAACATGAGCAGACGCAGAACAGGGCTGGTAACCCTCCGCCCTCGGCACCCGGGGCACGGGTCTTTCGTGGGGTCTCACCTTTACCTCCCCCAATAAACCAGAAAGCCAAGACTCCCTCATTCACCACCTCTACGCCCCCAACCTCTTCACAATATGAATGACTGGAAGAGTTAAATAGAAATAGTAAATACAGAAATATGATGGATGCCATTTCGGTTTTTATGGCGGATTATCTTTTGACGACTTCGAAACGTTTCGTTCTTTTTTCAACAAATGCAGTGACACTGTTTCATTATGTAAAACAGTGACACCGCATCTATATGCCATTTACGAAGACTTGGACAGTATCAATTAATTTAGAATGTATGCATGTTTTCAGCATGTAATGTTCTTCCAGTTTTTCGAGATTTGGTGAGTGATGGGCGATTACTTATCGAAACAAGAATATCCTAGATTAGTGGTTCCCAATTCTTTTCCTGTGATGCCGTCGAACACGTCGAATTTGCTGCAGTTTTCTATAACCGTCACCAGCCCAATCCCACATAAATTCGCCTAGTTAGCAGATTGCATCTTCAACGGTTCCATCCATTACTGTTGCTTGGAACAAAAGCAATGTTTACATATCCAAATGACAAACAAAATTCAACAGACGACCAAGAGTGGCTTACTGGATCTGTAATTTGTTTTGCACTCTGTTATTTTACAGAGCCCTTCGCTACTGCCCTTGGGACTTTATTATTAACATTTCTCGTTCAAGTCAGAAGGGCCGTTTCTTAGTTTTTTTTAATTATTACTCATGATAATACCCTTATTCTTCTCTCTCTCTCTCTCTCTCTTCTCTCTCTCTCTCTCTCTCTCTCTCTCTCTCTCTCTCTTCTCTCTCTCTCTCTCCTCTCTCTCTCTCTCTCTCTTCTATATATATATACATATATAAATATATATATAAATATATATATACATATATATAAATATATATATAAACACATATACATATACATATATACATAGACATATATATATACATATATTACGTAAATATAAACATATGTAATATATATATATATATATATATATTATATATATATATATATAGAGAGAGAGAGAGAGAGAGAGAGAGAGAGAGAGAGAGAGACAGAGAGAGAGAAAGAGGGAGAGAGGGGGGGGGAGATAAATAGGTGTATGTGTGTGCAACGTGTAACTCACCAACTAAAGAATCATAAATACAATAGTATGGACACTATAAATGTCTTAAAAGAGAAAAAAAAAATATAGCAACTGAAGGATGGAAACAAATTGAGGCAGGTAACTCAAAGCCAATAGAGGCAAGCAGACAGAACTGGCAGAAGTGATAAGAAAGTTCAAGACAAGAAGTATCTGAGATAATGGGAGAGATGCAATAAAAAATTAGATATTCGGCAGTATTGTCCAAACAGGGGGCCGCGGCATTGCTCAAAGGAGCACTTCAGAAGACAAACGCACACACGCGCACACACATGGATTTATGTTTACATGTTTAATATACACACGCATACAAACACACATATATGTGTGTGCGTGAGCTTTTCAGCTTTATTTAGGGGTGGGGCGAGTGTAATGAACAAAAATTTTGAAAAAATAGCCATTCTATAGACATTTTACACTATAACCGTACACATATAGGTGTATATATACTAAAAAAAAGTTACACATGGTGGTCTTTGAGGGGGCCAAGCCAGACCTTGAGGGGGTAAACACTGTCTAGGCGGGGCAGCCCATTTCCAGCCCCCACACTGATTGTGGTGTGTGTGAGAGAATGATAGCAGTAAGAAGAGGGATTACAGAATGTAAGCAAAATCGTGATCTGAGAATTATGTCATTTTAAGATTGATTCTATGGTCTGAGTGGTGTCACTAACGGCGCTTCCATGAAATTCTGTGAATTATTTATCGCCCTGTATTCGAACCAAAGGCCTTGGCGACTGCCGTATGCCCCCGAACCATTAGTGTGAGTTACTGACCGCTTGTATCAATCACTGTAGCAAGAAGCACTTAAGGTGGTGTCACACTAGCATTTTTTTCCGTCAATTTTTTGACAATTTTCTGAAATTTTGTCCATTTTTGAGCGAATTGTCGATATTCCAGCCAGACGATAATGATCGTTTCCGCCTGAAAACCTTTCCGTCAACTTTTTCAGCCAAGCATAGTCAAATCAAGAGCTATATTCGAGAATGTTTGTATTTATGTTTATTAAAATTGTCCAAAAATTGACGGAAAAAGTGCTAGTGTGACAGCACCTTCAGTCCAAAGTGAAACGTTTGGCAAATAGGCAGTCTGCACGTCAAAGCAGTACTCTATTTACTAAGAATAAAGAACACTTAGGGCCATTAATGTTCCTTTAGATCATTTGAAGAATATCGGCCCAGAATTGCTCAAATGAAGAATATTCCCTTCCCTCATTCCCAGAACAGTGTAGAAAAGATTTTGGCGTTCCATGGGACTAGAGGCAAGTTGCTGCAGAAATATAAAAGAAGATAAACACATAAGAATTGAACAGTTGGCTAACGAGCGCCAGTCCTTATCAACATAGTGCGTCAGCCGTTGCGAACATAGCAGAGAGTCATGATAAGAATATCGAAATGGAATGAACATGCAGGTAGATGGAACAGAATAACTAATGAGGGGAAGATATATATATATATATATATATATATATATATATATATATATATATATATATATATAAATATGTAAACCTATTCGAAAAAGGATAAAAGTTAGGCCTTAGAAGACGGAGGTCCAGACAAAAGACACATCAGAAGGAACGATCCATGTACATATATATATATATATATATATATATATATATATATATATATATATATATGTATGTATGTATGGATATATATACAGATAGATACAGAGAGAGATGATTATATCTACAGATTTATAGATAAAGATTGTATATATAAATAGAAATATAAAGGAGAGAGGCATATCACACAAAATCACATTTCAAATTCGTGCAATCATGTCCGTCTTCGAAACAAAAATAACCTCACACATTCAAAATAAATGCCTCTTTTCATATACAAAAATAATAAATAACTCACCGCCAGCGCACTGCCGAGCAACGCGGCAAAGAAAAATAACTTCAGCATTTTGCCTTTCAAGGATTTCCGAACCCCTTTTCACGGTCTCACAGCGAACCCACAGGGAAGTCAGCAACCGTCCACACCGGAGAAAGACACTGACTCAACCGGTCTCAAGAGCTCCTGGTATTACACTCAAAATGGAGGTCTGGGCTGGTACGAGATAAGCTTAAAAACGGTTATCAGTTAATAACACCGCCCTAATAGACCTTAGATAGCCTGGCCGCAGAGCTTAGTATTGTCTAACGAGTTCACAATAATTCGTGAAAGGCTGGATACTCAGAGCAATGATAAAACCAGCTGATAAGAAGGATTCCTGACTGATAAGGCAGAGGGCGAACTCAGATCAAGAAAGGCACAAGCCTTACGTGAGGTCAGTAAGATATGGATCCATTTTAGTTTCGGTTGCGAACCAGTTTACCTGCGTTCACCCGCGCTGACTAGTCTTATTTTCGTCCATGCTTATGATGACCATGTTTACCTGCTGTATGATTTAAAAAGGCTATTCATCTGAACATACTTATATACGTGCATACATCTTATGTGGTTTTGACCTAAATATATAGACACATAAGCAGGCGCACATGCACATTTATGTATATGTATGTTTATGTATATGTGTATATATACACATGTATATCTATACAT